TAGCCGACGTAAGGTAATGTACGCTGAAAGATGGACGGGGGGGCTAGTAAAGCCTCATACCTTCTTCAAATTTGACGATAAGAGGATCAACAGCTGGACTGCCAATAAAACTGCCTGCTTCGCTGCTTCCTCTACCTTGATCTGACTCGGTGCTACTACCATCATATTTTGTGTCATCTATTGCTGTTACAAAGAGAAAATTTTACAACATAAACAAACAGAACGAATAAAAATAAATAATATATTGTACACATTATAATAGACTTCTACCTTGACGATTCAACCATTCTGGGTTTAATGTCTTTGATGTTGAATCAAAATTTTTGACTGGATTAATAAGGTCACTAGTAAATGTACGAGCAGTTTTATGCATAAATGAACAGTGAGGTTTTCTACAACCTCCAGGCTGAGTTTCCCAATAACATGCAATTGACTTACGATTTTTCTATTTAAACAAAAAGTATACATTAATAATCTATTTAAATTTTTAATTAATATTTTACTTTTTTTTTTAAATATAAAATATCCTTACTCTTAATTCCATATGCCTAAAGTTACAATGTTCATCAAGGCATTTACCCTGCTGCCAAAATACGCACATTATTTCGCAACCCAAGGCAGATGGTTCATGTCTGAATGGACAATTATCACCCTATAAATATAATCATAAATTAATAAAAATGAAAAATAATAGAATAGAAATGTGTCAAATTCATAATGATCAGGAAATAATCAAGAATTTTGTTACTGTCATCAATAGTTGCAGTGCTCATTTAAAATGTCAATACTGCAACCTATGCTATAATCAAACTTTCTAATATTTTAAATTTCACATCATTTTCAGTTATACATTATAGGAATACAAAATTTTTTTTAGTATTTATATTTATTAACAATTACTATGACGTTCAATGAATATTAACATTACTATCAATGATAAAAATTGGTTCAAATACGAATAGAACAAAAATCTGAATTAAATCTTTCAAAATGAATAAAACCGAACAATAATTGTAAAATAATAGAAATAAGAATACTGTTATAATAATAACATGGTTTGCTAATTATTTTAAAAAGGATATCATGGAACCTGGCTCCAACATGGCCGATCTAACCTCGCGAATTTAGTGAATCAGAAACAATATGGAACAAATGTATTGAGCATTTAGAATTTTATCGTAACGAGTAGATATAACGAACGTTCCGTGCATATTATTAATGATAAATACATACCTTTGTGCACGTTGAGTAATAGAAAAAATAACAGTCGGTATTCTTATGACTGTGCTCCATTTGCAAAAACTGATAGAAAGATGAGTGATCGTGTTCCTTACTGAAAAGAGAGAATGTTTAAACTTATCGCGATTAAACATGATATATCATGCGGAGAAAACGGAAAAGTTAAAAATAAAGCGTGTTACCACTTCGTACGAAACATGATTACGGCTTAATATATCGTGTTCAACCGCCAGTTCCAATGTACTACGAGTATTTGTACTAACAAGACGACCTTTTTTTTTTTAACGCTTATTTGTTGTATATTCATTACTTACGTGTGGTGGCAGTGATTCTTTGGGTGACTTCTTTTTTGCCCCTTCGCTTTGACCCACACACTAAATTGACTCGCACACAGATTCAAGTAAATAGTTCGACCGTGGCACTTGTCGCCCCTTTCGTTGGAGACGCTATTCGCTAATGGCGTAAACTTCCGAGGAAACACGAAAACGCGCGACTGTTTCCGCGCTTATTTCTAATTTACTTTAATAATTAATATAACAAGTACAAGTATTTATGTAAATATAGTTTTATTAAAACAACATGTAAAATATATCACATAAATGTAAGTATTAGCTTTGTAAAATGTACATTTAAATATCGTTACATTTACATAAAAATAAAAATTTAAAGATAGTTACAATCCTAATTTATATCAATAGAAACAAGTGTATAAATAAATGTTTTATCAAAACATATTTTTGACATTGACGTAGTTATTAAAAATTGATGAAATAATAAAAAATTTATATTACACCTTCTGTACCAATATACTTACAAATACTTATTTACTTAATTATATACTTACCTTGTTCTTAAGATATATGTTTATTTCATTTTAATACAATTCTAGATGAAATTAATTGCCAGTTTCTCAACTACAATTACAAAATTATACAAAATTAAATCGTTGAATATAATTAATAAGAATATCAAAAATAGTAGTTAATATTTAAAATTTATAAGAAAGTCAAAAATTCGAATTTTACTAGTTTATTTACATCTATAGTTTTACACACCCAACCATTAAAAAATGTTTATAAAATGACACTTTCAGTAAAAACTCTTAAGTTAATAATGATTTACAATTTAAGTGCATACTTAAAGTGATAATACCTAGAAAGTAAAGTAAAGACTCTGAAATATATGTTTACAAAGAGTATTATAAATATACACTT